CTTAGAGCCAATACCTACAGCCATGACTCAAAGTCTACTCTATGACCTCAGAACCACTACCTACGGCCATGATTCTGGTTAACTCGGTACCTACGGCGCCGGTTGGGTGGAACCTCCAATCCTACGGATCAGATCCCAGATTCCATGTACGTACATCTTTACCCGAATGCCACTGGACTAAGTCCACAAGGCTCTACACCTATTGTCAACTTACAATCTCAATTCCCACAAAGTAGTCCTAGAGTTCATCTAGGTAACCTACGTCATTCACTTACTTTAATTACTCAAGTCCAAGCTGTTAACAAACTCAGTTTACTTTATACATACAAGGCATCTTTAACCGCTTTCGAGGCGTTAGCAGGAGGGGCAGGAGGAATGGGCTTTTCGAGCACATACTCTTTCTCATCCATGCGGAGAACAATGGAGAGATTGCGTTGCCAGTCAACAAAGTTTGTTCCGTTCAATTTGTCTTTATCGAGAATGGAACGCAGGGCGAGGTTGTTTGTGTTGTTGTTTGCCATCTACAGAATTTTGCGAAGATAGTTATTATCATGAATCAAGTATCTAATATGTCTTTATTAAATACTCTCCCACTATTTCTAACAAGTCAATTACCCTCAGGTACGGAACCTATTGACTTGGGGTTTCTTCGTGAGAAGAATACCCTAGCGGGCCAAGATCCATATTTTACTTAACTATAGTTGTGCTTTGCATCTTGCCCTACAGTCAAGTTATTTAGGTAGGAATTCATTCCAATTGCAATCGTTATTACAACTCTTGGTTCGGTGGATTCTTTTAAATAAAATTCTTAATTGGGCCAGATCCATATTTCATTTAACTATAGTTGTGCTTTGCATCTTGCCCTACAGTTAAATTATTTCTGGTAGGAATAAATTCCAATTGTAACAAGTTACAACTCTGGTTGGATGATCTGATTTTATTTATTGATCCTACCGCAGTGCCCTAAGTCTCTCATCCATATGACCAAGACTTAGTTAAGACAAACCCGGGGCGAGTCAGTACCCTAGTTACGGGTTTCGCGCCTAACCAACGTAAACCGGGCGTCTCACTTGGGTGTGTCCGTTACCGATCTAAATTGGGTTTGACGAGTGACGGGGCGTCGGGGTGGCACAGACTTAAAATCATGAGGGATTTATTACGCAATATTGCCTATGGCATACACCGCGCGCATGCACTAGCGAAAATCACATACATGCATACATTCAATCATACATCACATGCATAATAAGTAAACGTGAAATGATTGTGGCTCTTAAAGAAAAACAAACGACAGCGCCTTGATCAAGAGATCTCTATCTCCGGCCCATCACGTCTTCCTTAGGATTCTCCATCACGAACGGACTTCGTCTTCTTTTCTTCTTATAATTTTCGAGAGAAAAGAATATTGAGGTAAAGAAGAGAATTACATCCAGAGTATAGAGATGAGGCATGACACGCAGGCCGTATTTAAAATTATAACAAATATAACTAAGCCACAATCATCCACCATGCAATAATACATACAAGCATCACATACATCACATCATACATATTAAAGCATACACCGGGCGAACCGCGCTCGCCCAGACCTAGTTTATTCTATTCTACGGAATAAACTATCAACAATAAATTAATTAAACTAGCAAGTAATTTAATTAAAAATCATAAAATACTTTAAATTTCCAGAATGTTAGAAATTTGATTTTCTAAATTCCAGAAAATAAAATATTTTATATTTACCGTATATATATATTTACATTCGAAAAAGGGATTTTATTTTGAATTAAATACATATATGTTTTCTAAATTAGCAAATAATTATTGGAGACTCCCAGTAAACTTTATTAATCTAAAAATCTTAAAATTCTAGAATGAATAAAATTTAAAATTTTGAAAACCATTTTTCAAAGCTAGAAAACCGAAATTATATTGTGAAAATATATTTCGAAATTCCAAAATTATCAAAATTTATTTTTCAATTCAAAAAGAAGTTCCAGAACCAGAATATGATTTTTCAAGAATTTAAAATATTAATTTTGCAATTTTAAATAATTAAAAATCGGACTAGTGAATAGTACCGATCCAATTACTTCAAAAATACAAAATAAATACTTTTACGTGCTTAAAAATTATGAAAATTTTTATACAAGCTTAAAATATCTGGTCGCAACTTATTTTGAATTAAAATGAATTTTTCATTGTCAAAGATAATTTTCCTATTTTCTATTGAATAAACGAATTTAAAAATAGAAAAATAGGAAATTAATTCCAAAAATCGATTTTAAAATTTCTGAGTTATATTGACATGTCAAACACATCCCAGAAAATATAAAATCTAATTTTCATAAATATTAAGTGTTTATGGCACAAATAACAAGTATTCTACACATAAACTACTTAATAAGAATAATATAAAAATACCCCAAACAGTAATTCCGAAAATTACTAAATAAAATTATATTAGGTCCAGTATCTAAATATGGCCACCTAACAAAATTTTATAATGGGATAAATTTTTGTCTCTAAAATTTATTGACTAATCTACAAAAACGATAACGGTAAAAACTACTAAACTAGTAACTTCGTAAGCCGGCTCTGATACCACTGTTGGGAAATGAGGCTTGGATGACGCAGCAGAAAACAAAAATTTAGAGTCCAAAACTCGATTCCACCCATGAACAACTTACGTAAATTACTAGCTATAGTAAGAAATTTACCTTAGCGATGAAAAACGGAGAACAGAGAAACGGTCGGCGATGGTTTTGAGGAGATGAACATAGCGCCAAACGTATGAAGCCTCCAACGTATCCACACGAACTTGCTCCGGAGTCCTAGATTAAACTTGTGCTAGCAAGTTTAATTTAGGATAGTAAAAACTATAATAATACTACTTTGGGAGTAATAAATACTACCTCCGTCTCACTCTCTTTGTCCACTTTTGACTTTTGGAACTGTTCATCTAAGCACTTTGACTCATCAAATTCTCTCAATGTGTAAGCCTAAATATAGTCATGTGTGATCTTGTTTGATTTGTCTTAACATATAGATTATTAATATATAATTTCTATAATTTTTTAATATACAAATTACAAGATAAAATAGATTAAAGAAGTGCATTGGATGGTGTGCCAAAAGGTAAGTGGACAAAGAGAGTGGGACGGAGGGAGTATATAGTAAAAATTATTATCTTATAAATATTTCTTTATAATATTTTGTGTATATTTCTAACACTTTATTTAGAAAAATAACTTTGAACACAAAAATAAAATTTTCTTCTCACTAAAAATGGGATGGCCGAAAATTGTGGTATGTTTTTCAAAATCAAGACCTCATTTTATAATAAAGTATATTTAGGAAATTGCTAGAAAATTAATGTTAAGCATAAGTCCATGTATATGTCTTAACACCATGTGTAAATGTTTAATATCTTAGCTACCAAACAAAATAGAATCCCTACATCAAATAATAATCAAATATATCAATTTGACATTAAAAATACTTTATGTATAAAATCAAAATGGTCTTGGATTTTCCTCTTGAAATCTTCGGCCATCTCATATTAAAGTACATTATATTTTATTTTGACATCAATAATTATCATATAATTAAAATGATGAAAAATAAAATTATATATATATATATGTATATATATATGTGTGTGTGTGTGTGTGTGTGT